GTAGGCTATTAGTGTAGAACCCGGGTCATCCTCTTAATTTTGTTTAATTAATATTAATTTTACGTCTTTCAGTAGGCCTACTTTTTAAAAGTCTGGAGTTTTTCTCCAGGCTGGTTCTAAATCGACCCAGGCGTTCTTGTTTGTTACAATTCTTATGAATGGTGGCCATACCTAAAATTACTTGATCTTATCCAAAAACAAAGCTATTGTCTATTGAGTAGCTCAGTACCGGGGAACGGTGAACCTAGCAATGGCTTGGTATAGTTTATTTCGATTGTGAAACCAATGTAAAGGAACCCCAACTAAGAAAATCCGTCAATTCGTTGATTAAGAATCGTGAATTAAAATTACCCTGTCACGTTTTGTTATATGAGTACCTATTATATCTTCTCCTAGTGGTGCTTAGGTGTACAATCTAAAAACTGTTTTAAAACATGTAACATTATTACTAAAAAATCCAACACATTTTAGAATTAGGCAACTATTTACTAGTAGGCCTACAATGCTTTGGCTTAAACTATTAGGCCTAGATAAAAGCTTAGTCTAATGTCATATTTTTACATGTAAGTTGGACGATTCAACGACAAACATTTAATTTTAAATCTATGAATTAGTTATGAAAGTTACGATGGTTGATGACTGATGGTTGATGTTTGATGACATTACGATTAAATTTGTTTTCCGTGTTTGAGAACTAGCGTGTAGTTTAGCTTAATTTCGTAGAGGTTTAATTATTTATTACCTTTTCAATATTTTTCAACTCTATTATTTTCCTTTATACTTATGGCATTTATATTTAAGATCGAAATCATAAACATTTAACTGGCCATTGTAGAGTTAAATAAGGCTCGTCACACACTGCGTCCGGTCCGGTAAAATCGGATCCGGTGTTTTTCACCGGATCCGGCAAATCTCCACACACTGCATCAGGCGTTCCAGTTCCGGCGACAGTCTGAGTCTATGCGAGGACAGCGGTATTGTGAGTTGAAGAAGTGTTTAACCAACAACATACAGTATAGTTTGTTCAACAAAATTTCCCTAAAGCAATGAGTGACAGTGACAGTGAAGAGATCATCGTAGTTGCAGCAGCTCTTGCTTAAACGTCCTTGTGGCCTAGGTCGTATAGCTCAGGGTACACCTGTACTAGCACAATCAGTTTCTTTTCCAATGACATTTTATTAAAAGTCGTACAGCGCAAACAATAACCACAAAACCACGTCTGCTGCTACTGTCAGTGCCCACTGTCACTGTCACGAGGTGATTAGAAGTCGTCTGCGCATGCACGAGCTCTCCGGCGTCGGAAGCTTGCCGGAAGCCTATCGCTTCTCGACCGAAATAATTTTACCGGACCGGACCTGAAGCACCGGACCGGATGCAGTGTGGGGACTTCCATTTGAATTAATGATTTTCGAATTCACCTGATCCGGCATGCCGGATCCGATTTTACCGGACCGGACGCAGTGTGTGACGAGCCTAAAAAAACACTTTTCATGATTTTTTAATAATTGTCTTTTAGAATTACTTTGGGCTAGTTATCTGTTAAAAGTGAAATTGATAACAAAAACAATTACATTTACTGTATCTTCATTGACACTGAAATTTTGAAATACGGTAATGTACGATTATTTTGTCGTGCAAGGTTGGCAACGCTCCATGCAGTGGGCACGGCCGGGTTAGCGACTTCCAGAGTTAGCGAATTCCGCCGCGAGACAAAATCGAGTTAGCGGGTTCCGGAGTTAGCCAATTCCTGACTGAACGGTTAGCCAGTTCCAGAGTTAGCCAGTTCCGATACACGACCGAGTTAGTGAGCTCCTGAGTTAGCCAATTCCTACGTCTCCTCGGTAGGCCTACAATTGTTTCTACATATTGTTTACAGGAAATTCATTAGGGCCTATATACATTTTGTAGACAATCTAATTCCCTACATAGAAATATATATACCGGTACGTAGGCTAACATGTTAGGAAAATTTTTCTTATAAGTTTTTGGGGCGAAAAATAATAACAAACAGAGAAACGAACATTTTTTAAACCGTTCAGTGTTAGTTTGTGTTGTAAAAAGTTATATAAACATGTGTATACTAATAATGATTTATACATGTTTGTAAAGCTTATAAAGTAAGGAATCCAAAAAAGTCATACATTTTATATGGTAAAAATAATTTTGTATTTATAAATAAGTTTTAAAATGTTTTTGTACCTAGTATTTAAGCAATTTTGTGAAAAACAAATTCATAGTATTTAGTTATAAAACTTTTGTACCTACCGTAGGCCTACTAAATCTTTTTACTTAAAACCAACATAACTTAGTCATCTTGTAGTGTGTTCAATTACCTACATAAAAATGTAGGCCTAACATTTTTTGTTTTTACACGTTAGGGGCATAATAATATAAATAAACGGAAATCCGCAAAATACAACCGCAAGAAAAATACAAAATACTTTTTATAAACATAATTTTACACTAAATTCAGTAAAAATTTGTGCATAATAAAATGCATAAAGATTAGGCCTACTGTTATTCACACACACATTTCTCTAACAATAGGCCTACGAAATAATAACGAATTTAGTAATAAATCACGGATTAAAACAAGAGCGAAAACTCGCCGGCTACAACAAGCAATGGCGAATACAAGGCACTCTGTGTACGATACCTTGACAGTAGCGACGCACTTTTGTCATCTTAGAGAGAGAAAACTGAAATAACCCTGTGCCGTGTGTAGGGCTGCCACTAACTTATCACAACTACATTTCTTCCTCTTCAAAATGACATATTATATGACTAGTAATAATAACTTACACTGTAGGCCTATGCAATAGCGTAAGTTTATTCCACTGGTTAGCCATTTGTTATACATTTTGAAAGCAGCCGTTTTCATAAAACCGTACCTGTTGTGCAATCAATATTTTGTTCTAAATATCAATAGGCTACCACAATGAAGATAAAATCAACGGCTATCCAGTGGTACCTACCACCCGCAAAATCCCAAGACGAAAATCACCCGAGCAGGGTAATGCCAAACAAGTTGTGTTTACAGTTCCCAAGTGCCAGCTGCAAAAGTCGTGCCGCGCCAAAAATTCATTTGTCTTCTAATCGTGACATTGTTATTTAGTCAAAGTCAAAGTCAAAATAAACTTTATTCGTATGAATACATTGCAGCATCAGAATAGAGTCACATATAGGCCTAACTAAAAATCCCATACTTTCATGCTATATAGCTAAAATACAATATATTTAAAACTATATATAAAACCCAGGCAACCAGTAGTGGAGCCCTCACTTAAGGAAACTCCGAAAAAGAATAGAGAGCTTTATTAACAAGATATTCTTTCAGCAATTTTTTAAATTTATTGTAATTTTGCTCATTTCTAATTAAATTTGGCAACTGAGTAAAAAATTTGGTGACCATATATTTAGTTTTGTTTTTATAAAAATGCAGATTATGTTTATCAAAAATAATTTTATTTCGGGTATCATAATGATGCTTGGATTCAAAAAATATATCACTTTCATGTTCTTTGACATACTTTATTGTTTCTAAGACATAAAGACTGTGAACTGTCAAAATTTTAAGATCTTTAAATAAGTTTTCGACACTCTCTGTGCTTTTTAAACCTAACATGATTCGTATTGCTTTTTTTTGTTTTATCAGAATTTTGTCCAAATTATATATTGAGGTAGCTCCACCTACAAATTCCGTATGCCAGATGAGAGTGTATTAAAGAATAATATATTGTTTTCAGCACTGTAAGGTCAGATATTTTTGACATTTGCCACAGTGCATATATTCCTGATGACATCTTTTTCACTACATTATCAACATAATCATTCCAAGATAGATGTCGATCAATGAAAAGTCCTAAAAATTTTGTCTGATTTGCTTTATTTATTATGTTATTGCCAACTTTGATTTTTGGATCCAGAGCTATTTTATTTTGTTTTGTGGAGAAACTTACTATCATTGATTTGCTTGTATTTAATAGAAGGTTATTTTGATTTAAAAAATTTTGAATACCGTACTCATTAAGTCCAAATTGGCTGAGAGCTCAATATCAGAACTGGAATTTCCTTTAACAATTAAATTAGCATCATCTGCATATAGTGACATCGAACTGAAGCTGGTACTCTTAGGCAGACCATCCAGGTAACACAAAAAAAGTAATGGACCCAGGATGGATCCCTGAGGTACTCCATACTTAATCACCTGAGCTTCACAGACACAGCTTCTTAAATAATTACAATAATTACCATAATCTAGATATTTCATTTCAACAAACTGATGCCTATTACATAAATAAGAGGAAACACTACAAATAAGAGGAAACACTAATATACCTAGGCCTACTACAGGGTTTGTTTATATAATAAAGTTAATGTTCAAAATGTCATCTTTCAAATGGTAACTTAAATAATTGTTCATATCAGAGTTGATTATAGGCCTACATAAGCGGTGTTTTCACCATTACAAAAATGTCGACCCATAATAGCGTGGGTATTACGCTGGTGACCATTCTAGGTGTCACGGCGAACGAGCGTCGTTGGCCACTGCTAGGGTTAAGATCGTAAGAATAAATTAAAAACCAACGTTTTAAAAAAAAATCCAGGGCCGCACTTTACTTGACGTTCTACACTCATTTGATTGTTTTTTTCGATTCAATATTTACATTCGATATATCGTTTGGTTAGTTAGGCCTAGGTTAGGTTAACCTTACCTAACTAACCAAACAATATATCGAATGAAGCAATCGATTAATCGATATATCGATCGATATTTTCATTCGAATTAGTGTAGGACGTCAAGTAAAGTGCAGCCAAATCCAGAAAGTTCAGATTTACCAAACAATCTATCGTTAAGTAACCTGATACATCAATATTTCTTAAAAATTTGCCTTCCCATGTTAAGAAACTGTAGGCTTCTCAGGATTTAGGCCTACCTAGGTCGAACGTGTAGCCTGTTGTCTAAGCCTAACTTATGTAAAGAAAAGCAAAACACTTACCGATAGATCAACAGAGAGATCAGTGCCATCCAATAAAATAACTTTACACTGTACAAGGTTCTTGTGAGAAGTATATCTCTGACTTCCTGGTTTGATTAGTGTAGATGTTTTTTGGGCATTTCTGCCCCTTTTTCTACTCAAGAATCTTAACATCTTTACAGGGTTCCGAGGCTAATGTAGGTAATTTTAGATACCCAAGAATAAATGGTAAAATAGTTCACAATAAAATCCAAACAGTCTTCTTAAATCATCGTAAACGTAAACATCGATAAACGGTAAGTAGGCCTAGGCCTAGTCTTTTTGTTTTTGACCCAGTGTCACAACATTGTTTAAAAGCCTAAGTTACTTAAACTTAGTATAAACAATCATAACATAGGTTTATTTAACTAACACTAATCGAAAATAAGAATAAAATTGTTCACATAGTAAATTCTTCAGAAACAAAGCATTAACTGATCAAAACAAAACAAAATACTGTAATGTAAATTCTATACGTCGTCGCCCTAGCTAGCTAGCACTGTTGGTAGAGCTCGGTCGGATCGGAACGGAACGGAACTCGAAACAGTCGAAACGAAACGAAAGTTGGCTCAGTCCTCAGTCCCGGTCGATTTGGGTTGGGACACAGACCTAGGAGGAAAACCACGGCCTACTTTATGCTTTAACTACAGGCCGCGGCCTGGAGCATGGCCGTCTTTAACCACGGCCGCCTTTAACTACAGGCCGCGGCCTGGTAGAATTGGCAACAACGCAAGTGGTGTTGTTCAGTGACAGACGTCCCATAAGATAACATGGCAGACAGGTGACATCAGCTCATTAATTCGCACTTTATTGATTTAATTTTGAATTTATGAACATTAATTTATTATAATATTGAAAATAAAACATACAGAATTGAAAATTGAAACAATATGAATTAAAATCTATATCTGTACATTTTTAAGCGGGGTCAATATTGTCATAGTCCAGAAAAAAATCTTTCGTAAACATCTTTTGTACTCAAATACCCACTGAGCTAAAATTATAACTGGAGGTAGCACTGCCATGGCAGAAGTCTGTCAAAAGCGAGTCGCTGATTTTGTTAGGTTGGTATAGCAGTAAGTTTTCTTACCATAGCAATAACATGGCTTCTTATAACTAGGTTGTATAGCAGTGAGTTTTTTTGTCATAGCAATAACATGGCTTCTTATGGACACCCACCTCACGCAAACATGGCGGCTGGCGACACGCATCTTTGACATTCAGTGCTACCTCCAGTTAGAATTATAGCTCAGTGACAAATACCATTAGTTACTTCCAAACTAAAACAGCTGATACAACACCACTTGCGACGTTGCCAGTTCGAAGGCCGTGGCCTGGAGTTAAAGGCGGCCGTGCTTTATATATGAAATTAAACCAATATCATGAAGTGTTCAGGCCCCACTTTTACAGCTGACTGGCGCTATAAAAAGTGAAATGAAACTGTCAAACTCAAAAACATTGGGTGAGAATGTTTTGTCATTTACACCTAGAATCATTTCAGTAAGAGTTTTTCTACTTTTGAGTTTCCCTCTTTTTTGTGGTCTAACTTCATATGAAACTGACTTGTTTCCTCTTTTCCTTTTTAGAACTAAGGTTGTGTGGACCTGGACCAGGGGGGCTGTCTTGGAGCTTGGATGGTTTTCAAAATCCTGTTACTTTTAGGGCTGGCACAAGGAATAATAACACTTGGTTGAATATAATAACCCAAAAGTTGGTGCCCCCCACGGCTAACCGGGTAACCCACGGTTTGATAGTGGTGGATCAAAAGCCTACTGCATTGATGGGCCAACATCTCTACACAATAAATCCACTCCATCATCAAAATCTAATCAGAAAATATCACTTATTATCTCAATTGGTTTACCTTATGGTTACCATGTTCTTGCAGATTATAAATTTCTATGCTGCAATGTAGTACATTTTGTGCACTTCACTGAGAATGACAAACACTTGTTATCGTCATTCCAAAGTGAAGTACCCCCATAACATTGTTTACAGAAAAATAATAGCAGAACTAATTAGCCTAATAAGTTAGTAAACGACCAGCAACAAAAAGTACAGCTCAATGTCTGACTTAGATCGACCGCAGCAAGGTTACCGTCACGAATATTGAAAAACGAAATACACCACGAGAAAGAGCAGACTTCCCCAAACGAGCCAATATAAAAAAGTAACTGTTTCTTCTCATTCAACCAATATTTTGAGCGCAGCAAATTCAAACTACACTTGGACGCTACGTTGGTTGGTAGCAGGGCTTTACATACATGTAGGTGGGACTCAAGAGTTTAAACATATAAATTATTATTTTAACAGTTAGAAAACTTTGTCAACATAAGCCCAAGTCGAGCCAAAGTTTTTTAGTCCAGGTACCTTACCTGGTTTCACAGAGCACTTAAAGGTTATAAATACATAAAAGTTACGTTATTTAACTGAATGTGAGGGAACATAGGATAAATAAGCAAACACCAATTATTTTTAACTTTCTGTATCCGTTTATTAATCGGCCAACAACAGTCACATAATATATTATTGTAGCCCACAAAATCTTAATAGTGGCAGCAACAACCGTTTGGAATGAAAACTCATCTTACACAAAACATTTATCAACAGAAGTAAGAGTTAACAGTTAGGTAGTAAAATATTTCATGAAAAACAATCATGTTTTCGCTTAACCTGTTCAATACAATCTTTCTTTTACAGTACTTTTGCTAAACTTTACACACTTAGTAAAAAAAAAACGAATCGACACAAATTTGTTAATTATCATTGAAGTGCCCAATTTAATAACATTTAAAATCTGTACTTTCACTAACAACATTGCTGGGATACAATAATATGTATATGTATTTATAAATTAATCTAAGCTATTGGGTATTTACTGAATAGAAATCGTATTTAATTACAGTTGGCAGATCTGTAGACCTGTGAAGACAATTTAATTTATATCAAGTTTTTGGGTATAAAGTTTAAAAGTGGATTTTTTACCAGTAAAGTACAAACATTCGATAAAAATATTAATGAAGTATCTTGAAATTTTCTCATAAATTTGTATGAATCGTGGTCAAACCTATCCAGTGACAAGACTTAAATATTGTCAATAGTTTACATCAGGGCAACCATCAAAACAGTTCAATCTTGTACTTAGTTAGCTCCCCCTTGCTTTGCTGGATACGTATCACCAGTGACTATATAACTTGTTGATGGTATGGTATATAGGCAATGGTTCCACACACAGGCTTGAAACTACCAGTAATCTTGCCCCTGAATTTAAAGATCTTGCCTTTTAAAAGGTTCATAGATTTCAGAATCTAAAAACATTTATCTTAAAACGTTGTAGGAAAATGTACATTTTTAATTCGGTCTAAAACATGGTTAGTCAATCTTTAGATTTGAAACACAAAAAAACATTTTAACAGCGAGACAACAAAATTACTCAATGAAACTTGTGTTTCTCATTTTCCATTTACTTTAATATTAAATTTTATGACAAAATAAAATATATTTCTTACAAAAAATTGTGTCAGATATGAACCATTAGACGTGCAAGATCTAGATTGTTTGAATTTGATTTTGTCAAGCTGACATTTTTGGCGTTAAACAATTATCTACATCTACTAGTTGACAGTTGGTATTGTAAAAAAACTATAGTTTTATGGTAAATGCAATAAAAACTGATTCAAAACATAAAATCAGATTTGGCTAATCAATAGCCAACTCCTGAGGCAAAATTTTAAACCTGTTAATGACACTAAAACACGTAAGTATTAAGAGGATGAACTAAATTTAATCAGTTGTAAAAATTTTGACAAATAGACGAAGGGATTCGGCTTGAGGAAAAATACTAGTTATACCCAGTAACAGAAGAACCATTTAAAAATACAAAGAGTATCTTATTGTGCCTAGAATCGACTTATCAGGTATATCGACCCCCCTCCACTAACTCAAGCAACCATTTTCTAAATCATACAATTGGTATAACAATGGATAGTTGTTCATTCACATTTATGTACTATTTATAAACTATATTTGCACCTAAATGCAATATCCGTGCATATGTTCACAGATTTAAAAGAAAATAATTAAATACAACCCAACCTTTACTAGATGAAGTGTAAGCTTGGAAGAGAACATTCATTAAACATTACTTAAGGTAGTTCTTTTTGGGTGAGATTTTATAAAATTTTTCTCAGCCATTTGCACATTCCTCTTTTATGTTTGAAAATAAAAATTCAATGTTTACGAAAAAGAAAATTTAAAAAACTAACTTACACCGGTTGGTTAAAAAACACCAATTTCGAGTATGTATGTGGTTTTATCTCAATTTACAAATCCAGTTCTGTCTCAATGGCATTTACATTACTGCGCTAATACATAATCTGTGCAAATAACTGATCACAAAATCTGACCCCTGCTTGAGCTAGTCCCTCACCTTACCAACATAGGTTGTACACAGATTGCACAATAATATAAGATCCACTGTCTAAAAATATTATTTTACTTACCCTACACAAGTATGTACACAATTGTCAACTTGTGGCATTATGAAAATATCTTAACACCATCTCTATTAACATTGTATTTAGTAGATCACAAAATAAGTAAAAATAAAACATGTAAACTAAATACATCAACATTTTACGTAACCTTTACTTAAAATGTAGGTGATATGATTTTGAGTGTTCACTGTTCAACATTCAATAGAATATAAATCAACCCAACGTACAGGTAAAAACTAAAGTAAAATGTGAATATTTTAGTTTGCAGGTATATGAAATGACAATTTTAAGAACTCAATTGTAAATAAATTATAATTAACGTGTTTACATTTAAAAAGAAACATGATACATGCACTAATAGATCAAATAAGTACTTAGAATATCACTGGGGTACAGAATAGAATTACTCTATGTACAACCCATTTATATAACAAAAGATAAAACCAGTGATTATACCAGTCTACGCATATATGCAAGATTCAAAAAGTCTACACAAAAATACTTATACAAAAATACAAAATATATAACTTTAAACATAAAATAAATAGAAATCTATTTTATAATAATTGTTGCAAAATACAATGATGAATAAAATAACTCATGCTGTAATATTTTTCAACAAAACTTTGGATAAACTATTACCAAGAACAACAATAATCATTATCATTGACCAATTATTAATTATGTTTAATAATTTAAACCACAGACTCAAAGTGATTTCCTAGAAATGATTTTGTGTCCCATTCATAAATACAATAATTGTACTTTCCTACAAAAGACTTCAACAGTTAAAAGTTCTCCAATGATTAAAAAACTTTCACAAATAATATAAAAATACAGTTAAAAAAGTAAAATGATCATCGGATTATAAAATATCACGAAACACCCACCATACCACCCAATTAATATTACCTACACTTACACCTAACTTTTAATCTCTAGACAAAAATAAATAAACCGTTAGACACAATCACACGCGACAGTCTGCAGTCCAAGTTGATCATAGTGGACGCCTTTGTAGATACAGGCCGAAATATCTAGTTCTAATATTGGTAAAAAAGTTTTGAAAAAATAACTAGGGATTAGTTAAAGCCTAGAACCAGCTAAGTATTGAGAGAATACTCAGGCACCCGAGTGCCCATGAGATCTGTGTATCACCCGACATACTCGTACGTTACTACGCTTGTTTGATTTAACTTATTTAAATTCTTGTAACAATGCTTAAACTAGTTTATAGCTATTTCAACACATTACTGACCACACCTAACATCGACTGCCGACCGAAACACCACAGTATGTTCGGTAACATTTATTTAACAACATATTGTTAAAAGTTAAAGGAGAAGAGGAGAGAAATGCAGAATTTCCCACTTGACAGATCACATTCGCTTGAACAGTTCAAGAAAAGTTTTGGTCCTAAATAGGTATTATGACACCCCAAACCCCAGTTTATTCAAATGCTTCAAACAAAACATTTCTCAGTAAAAATTTGCATATATAGGAACATTTTCATCATCTTCCGCAATAGCAGCTAAATCCTACAGTCCTAGACAAATCCCACGGCCATGGAAAGAAATCATCCTCAGGTAATCCGTCCTATTAACTGTTCTGACCTTGGTCCCGGTCCCGTAGGTGATGCGTGACGGATTAGCAGGGTTGTAGCAGGTAAATCAATCTTTATGGCATTGATATACAATTGATGTATTTTAAAGATTGTAAAATAGGATTGCTACTTATCTAAATCATCTCAAACAAACATTCACATCCATATAATTAATACAATAAGGGTTTTCTCTGCAACATCTCTTTTTCAGTGTTTCTAATAACCGATTCTACAATTGAGAGGTCATTTTAAAGCTTTTGATCCAGTGGAGGGATGAATGGTAACGAAAACGGTAATTTTCTATGGGGCTTTGTCCTTTTCGAGTTATTTTAACTTTCAAAGATCCAGTAATGCTTAATGACTTTCTACAATTCAGGTTGAATGTGAATTGCAATTTAACGCCTGATTCTTCAGTCTAATAGATAACCACAGTCAGTTTGTAAACTAGAGACAAAACAGTTAATAAAAATCAATCATAAATAGACGTTTTTGATGAAATTGTAAACTGACTGAGGTAGATTTAAAAGCATCATATTTAATCTATTGTAAATTAGTAGTTTTATTCACCTAACTTTAATATAAACTTAGGGTGTGTTGCATTATTCGATTTGCCTCAGAAACAAGTTTTAAACCATATTAAAATGCCCGATTTGTGCACGGGTCCCCTCGTTTAACACATAATTTAACACGGGGCAGAACCATTCTAATTTTTTTTATTGAACTGTTAATTGTGATCACAACGAGGGCAAATCAGCCCAACATTCAATCAGCATACACAAGAGATAATAAAACGAATATGTTGGAAGCGTAAATATTGAAATATCGACAATATTTGTGCAGGAACTCAGTTATAAAGTACAAAACTGATGTCTTTGGAAATGGCAACCCATGCCTGTTAAGTGTGGCCATTGTTTGTCTTAGAGCTAAACAATTAAATAAATTACGATCTGATGAGATGAACACGAGATGAGCCTTAGTGCACACCTGGTCTACCATTGCCTTAATTGACCCATTGTTACTTTGGAGGCGAGCAGAAGTAAAAGGGAACAAATCCAAATATTTGACCTATATTATTTGAATAATGACACAAAATAGATAATAATTTTTGTATTTAGACGTTTCTGTATATAGATCTAATATATTTAGATATAATGGCAGTGTTAATATAAAATAAAAAACTTTGTGGAATAAAAATTGGAGAAAATATTACTTAGCTTCAGCTTCAACTGGGATTGAAACGTCGTTGTTTGCTTCTATACAAAGATTGGATTGATTTTCAAAATACACACCCTGTGAATAAAAAGTAGTAGTTTAGTTAGTAAATTCAAAGTGTTTGATAAAATGGTATCAACACAAATAAATCATTTGAGAAATAGTTTTCATCAGCAAATTGCAATTTTTGTCAAAATAAATTTGTTTCTATTCAATGTGTTGTTGTATAAGATCAAAAACTTTTGAAATAAGTTTAAAATCATTTTAAAACCGTGTCATCGGAACAATACTTCATGTTTGATAATCACGCAATTCCCTGCATGGACTTAAAGTAAATTGTTAAACCTTAAAACAAAGTAATATTTCAAATTTGAATAAAAAATTGCTAGAGAAAGTATCCCCTTCACTTCTGGTCAGTAAAAACAAATTTGCAGCTCAGGTTGTTTCAACCTGTTGCTTCTGTATCAGAAGTACAGCTAGGTGAAAATACAAATAGAATTCTCTATTTATAAAATATTGTTAAATCTTACAAAAAAGTAGCGAGTGGTTTGTACTGATTAGGCACTGATAGAGAGAACACCATTGGTGTGGACTAAAGGCCGGGCCGAGACTCGTGCTACCTCCGAATGAGTCCGTTGCTCTGCCCACTCACACTTGGAGTCATCTCTAGCTCCACCAGTAGAGGGAAGTGATCTGTAACAGGTCAAATTACAGATTAAACTAATACATATATTAAACACTTAAGCCAGTTTTTTTTATTTTATTTTTTTTTAATTTGTGAAAATTGTGCTATTGATTAATAACTATCACAACTTTGCTACGGTAAAATTGTTGTTTCTTTAGCTATTCCTGGAATAATTTATCAAACTTTTGTTACTTCATATTATAAATACAGTTTCTTTTCTATTAACACCATTGGTCCCATCTATTATTTTCATAGTACCAGTGTTTCTTACTTCCTTTGAAGTTGATCCAAAAAGTAGCAAATGCAACACATTAAATTTGCTTTACTTCTGCAACATATATTCTTGTCTTCTTACAGAACTTTTACTGGATAAAGAAATATTCTGATTACAATCATAATTAGTAGGCTTAACCTATGCTACAATCAACATATGACTCTCGTAGCTTGTCTATAGGGCTTCTGCCCCTGAGGTCCAGGGTTCAAAGCCTGTTTATCACCAATGATATTTAGCTTTGTGATAATGTCGTGTGTCTAAGCCTCTTGTATAAGGGGTCGGAGCTCGAGCCTTACTCAATATGAAATGTCAGATGTTTTACCTGATGGTATGTGCGGGTGTGGACAGCCAATCACTTTGTTGTCCTTGAACCATTCAGGGGACAGGGGTCCCAGCAATCCTAGCGGTGTCATGTTTTGTTTGGCGTAGAATATATAGTCGATGATACCTTTGAAATGGAACCTGAAATATAAAATATAAAGTACTTTAATCTTCCTCGTCCCAACACATACTCTAAATTATTCTCAAATCTCCAGAGACTTCAACTACCCCACATAATTTGAACTCTTCCGGGAACCTGCATTAATTTTAACTAAAAAGCCTATTATGATAATTATTGTTCTTCGCTATGATTAACTAAAATCCCAAGCAATGAAACAAATTAATTAGGCGCAAGGAAGGGATAAAAAAAATAAAAAAAATTTGCAGCAGAATACAATTAATTTGTAGTAGAAAGGTTGTCGATTCAAAACTGAGAAAAAAATTGAATCATGTTCAACAACAACTGTTCAAGGCCCCAGCTATCCTTGGTCATTTGGCTTTTAATAAAATGATTTTGGAGATATTAGTTGGGTTCATTCATTCATTCAGCAATCATCTTCACCTTAAACTACATACTTTCGTGCACTGACCTCATTATATCTGCCTACTTGTTTGATTTTTGTATTGTTACTTGAATAAAGGAATGATACTTGACTCTGCTGGAATTAATATATCAAAGTAATTTGACTTACGTATAGTTTGTATAGGGCATGATGTCTTCACTGTACGCAGATGATAGTTTGAAGGAATGTGTAAACTCGTTTGGCTTCTCACCGCCAGAGATCTTCTGCAGAACAGATTTGTACGGAAGGTCTTTGAAATCTTGATGGTCTGACGAAACACGACCAGACGACAGGAACTCAATCACACCTGAAATGTGATTTGAGAAATAAAAAAGGCACACAGAATTTTAGTTTGTATAGAAAACGTTTTAAAATATAGACCTACATCAAATGTTGTTATGCCCCCAGTACACTCTCGCCGAGGCAAGGCGAGGGTTGGCGAGTGCGAGAGTGTACTCGGTTCGCTAGTCTTCTCTCGCCTTGACTCGGGTCGCCTCGCCTCGCCTAGCCTCGCGCTCGCCGGCGCTCCGTCTGGAGTCGGTTTTTTGACACGAGTCAAAGGACCCGAGACTGCACGAGAGCCGAGCACTACTTCCACATTGAAGTTTGCCTCCATTTCGACTGCGAGACAAAGCGAGAGTGTACACGGCTACCTCGCATAAGCTCTCGCCCGAATTTCTCGGTGAGCGTTTCGGCGAGCGTCTCGGCGAGAATGTACTGGGGGCATTATAATTTATTGCCTGCCTTGGTCTTTCTGAATAATTGATACATACAACATATGTTCTTATATTATTCGTAATATTGTTAATATTGTCATTGTTCCCATTGTTGAATACCGATCAAGTTTAATAATTGTCTTAAAGTTTTGTCTTTAATATCTTTCAACAAATGTAATACCTTGCTTAACACGCAAGTATCCAAAATGTTTTAGACGAGTACAAACAAAACATATTTTTTATTCTTGAAGTGGCCGTGAGGAGCAAAAGCCGGGTGTGACAGTAGGCTAGTGATTAAAGCCGCCAGTTAAGTCCTGTTATTACCATGACAATAGCCATCCCGGTGCGACGTCGACACACACCAACACAGCGGCCTTGTATTAGAGGAGGCTATGTCACAATACTGCCACTGACAATGAACTACTGTGTTCCTACTACTCACCAGAGTCAGGTAGAGAGTTAAAGTCGCCACACAGTAACAGCTGCACAGGAGTGTTGTTGCTGTTGGGACGGAAGTGCAGACTGCTCTCCTCCAGGATACCTCGCAGTGCGTGAGACAACATCATCACCTGGATCAACTTGACGTCGCAGAACTCTGGGTCCCAGTGGATGTGCGCCGTGCACACCAGCAGTGGTTGGTGCACCTGGTTCACATCTGGTGGTAGCCCTGCAACATGAAATGGTGCCATATGTTCATTCATGTTAAGAGGAAAATGTTTGATTGGAATAACCATATTCACTCTTTGCTAATATTAAACGTGAGATATATTCTACACACTTCATCACTTACTATATTGACTATAAACAAACAATATAAAATTATATGGTTTATTTATAGTGAATGCTACTCAATACTCTGATCTGATAACAGTGGAATCAGACTGGAAACCACAACCAGAAGGTGGTAAAACTCCTGTCACAACATGTTACTAGTCCAGAATATATGTCTTTACTGGATGAATTTGGTTATTTCCAGCATTATCTTAAGTATGATAACACTTTTTAGATGAGTGAAAGACAATATTTTTCCAAGATACTTTTTACTTTCCATTGAAATGGCAACCATATAAAGAAGGTATTTTAAGCCAAGTATGGAATGGAGATGAGTGTAGAATGATATCTTTTAGTCTTGTTAGTGACTAAGGCCAGCATATTCCTTAGACACAGCTTTTAATTAATAGCCCATACGGCCAATGGCAACTAAGAGACCTACAGTTTATAGTGTAATCCAAACCAAATTTTTGCCTTGGTATTAACAAATTGGTCTAACTATCACACACGTTTGTTCAGTATCCAGGGGCGGTCCTAGACATATATTTGGGGGGGGGGGTCACCGGGGGGCCTGGGGGGTATGGAAAAAAATTGGAAATAACGTGCTAAAACGAGTGGTTTTGAAGCTATTTTGAGGGCCTAGTTTAATGTGTTCAAGCTTCCCAGTTTATTTAAAGGTCAAAGAAATGTCTAAAAATAAACTTTTATAATGTCATGTTTTTGCATTATTGAGACTTGGGGGTTTAATATCAAAGGAATAACTTACCGCAACATTACAACACATTCAAGCATTATTGATTTACGAAAGCACCCTTTTCAACTCATGGTGGATGTATTTTCGTTCCACCATGCTTTCAACTGGTGCCAATGTGCATGCTAAACGGAAAATGTCCAAAATCAGACCAAGATTTCGAACCAGAAACTTATTTTATTTAAGAAGTGTTTAAGAACTTGGACCCAAAACGACTGCATTATAAGCCTGCCCAGTAAGCAACAATTAACCTACACAAAGTACACTATCCAACTTTAACTTTGCCGTCGGCGTCCCGTCACTGCCACCGCCTGAAGAATTGGTTCTACGCCAGTGTCAGTAGCATTTTACAAGTTCAGCTGAATATGGCTGAAAGCGTCCTACGTCACGTTTTCTGTGCCATCGTCTGCCGATCTTCCCTACTTTTCATAACGTACAAAAAACAGTCTGACTCGAACGATTAGTTTTAGGTTAGAGTTTGTAATTAGTCCTTTCATTCGCCACAAGTGTAAATACTACAATGAATTTAAATTTAGCAGAACGATTTGCAATAAAAATTATTAAAGTTCCCCTGGTATAATAGTTTATATATATAAAAAATATTTTGGGGGGTCATGACCCCCCTGACCCCCCCCCCCTGGGACCGCCCTTGTCAGTATCTCAGTATTACATGATAGTACTTCAGATAGTCATAGTAGTCACTAGTGCGGACGTTAATCCACACCAGTGAGTATCGCACCCAAATTTATAGGTGAATGCCTATAAATATCCACAATTCGTGACCTCCTAGTAGCTGGATTACAGGACAACGCCACAGTCCCAGTCAATATCCCAACTAAACCATAAAATAACCGTAAAAATCCTTTAATATATTCCCACCGACACCAATCACTTCTCAAACTTAATAACCACTCACTTCCAATAGAATATATACTATTTGGTACCAAATTTATTTTTGTGGTTTTTATCGATAAATGGTGTGAAAATTTTATTACATTGATTTATAAATTTATATTCATGAAATATATATATACAGTATATTCATTTATATATGAGGAGTACAACAATTAAAAATATCAGCTTTTATCAGATGGTGTGCGAAATAATATGTTACGTTTACTAGTCCTGAAAATGGTGTTTACCTGACGAATGTGGTCATTCCCGAGCGAGACGAAGTCGAGTGCGGGATTAACTTACGAGTCCAGTAAACACATTTTGGACGAGTGACGTACGATATTTTACGCTATTACTAATCTAAGCTAACTTAACAATAACAAATCAATACTCTCAAGGTTTCATACTAAAGAGACTGGGACCGTGGCGTCGTCTTGTAACCCAGCTACTTGCAGGTCACCCAGCTACTTGGAATTGTGGATATTCATAGGCATTATCTGTGGATGCGATAATCCCTGGTGCGGATTAACTTCCGCACTAATGAGTACTATGACTCAATTAAATATCAGTAATATTAAATATCTCAGCATTAACCTGATAATTAGGCAAATTTGTAAATTACAAGGCAAAAATGTGGTTCAGATTCCACCATAGATTGTATGTCCCATAGTTGCCATTTGCTGTATGGGCTATTTATTAACAGTCCGGTCTAAGGAACATGTAGGCCATAGTCAGTAACAAGAATACAAGATAGCTCCACTCATCTCCATTCATACTTAGCTTAAAATACCTGCATTTTTATGATCAGCATTTCACAAAAAAAGTAAAAAAAAACCAGCTAATACGACAGATAGAGTGAAGTTATCAAAATCTTGAATATTAACGTTTAAACAGCAAAAAAGGGAAGGCAAATATAATTAAGATGATAAGGTACCTTAAAAAATGTATGTTATGATTTCAATGAATACAAAATTTTTGGTTGTTTAATCAGAAACAAGGAGCTCAAAAGATTTTGCAGAATTTTCCGTTTGTTTCTTGTTCATAAGTTTTTTTATTTTTTTTTTTTTTATGATAAAGTTTCATTTACCAAACAGGAAAATGGAAGGATATAAAATTGGGTCTGTCGTCTGATGAAGAGAGTTAACATTACTGATAACTGGTTCCATCCTTTCTTGAAAAAAAAAAACTTTAAATTGCATTTGGATTGTATCAGTGGATCGTTATCTTTGATGGTGAAAAATACATCAATTTTGGTGGTAGGTGGATTATATCAGTTTTTCTTATTTGATCAAATATATCAGTTTGTCCAGAAAGCATAACAACATGCATTCTTTGAGTGGGGGTCTACTCTCACTCTGTGCAATTTTGATTCTTTCCCTTTCCATGTTAGCCATCATCCTGTACTTCTTTGCTAATTGACTTACTTCTAGCATCATCCTGTGATATTTGGGCATTACGTCAAACTTACCTTCCCAACAAGTCATAAGATGCTGAAATGTAAATTATGCTTGAGCAAATCTTCTTGTAGTAAAATGCAGTGCTTTACAAAAATCACAAAGCAAGTGGGCCTTGCACCACAACTTAATAGGCATAGGGTTAATAGGCCACTGCACAACAACTATCAAGAGCACATTTTAGAGAAGTCAAGTGAAGCTAACTTCCGTTTTAATTTTTAATAATAATTTTAGTGGTCTAAGAGCCAGGATTGTTTCCTTCAAGTAGGGTCAAGGATGTTGACCCTTGGGTTTCGTCTCAGAATAAAGTTTTTAGAAAGTATTGAATTTACAAAATACAAATTCTTAATTGTATAGATAAAATCGTGAACATCTTCCGCATTTGCTGGTTCATCATTTTTGTCTATCACGGTCACGACAAAATCGTGTACATCTTCCGCGATCGTGAACATCTTCCTCATTTGCAGAGACATCATTTTTGCTTCCTCCATTACGGCAAAATAATGAGCGTCTCGGAAAAATTGTGAACATCTTAAAGATAGCGGCGAAATTGTGATGTTCGTTCACACAATCATTGTTGAATGTGCTAAAAGATCATCAGTGACATTAATTATTCAAGTGAAAAAAATTCTCTTGAGGCCCAGGCAACCGTTGTTAGGGAAATACGGCCCTGATATCCAAGCCTAAGTGACAATTAGTCTTGTAACAATGAAAAAAAAAAAACAACTTATGTATGAGGGAAATCTACTGTTTTTGGAAGTATAAATTGTGTCCTATGATTATGTTTCTGTATATGTGGGTTTCTGTCGAAGCCTGCTTACATTGTGAAAGCATTTTTAACTTTACAAAAATCTTATAACATAATGCAGTTCATACTGGACAGGGGCCTTTTATTTTCTTCACATTGTTTTTTGAAACTATAATGGGACTAATCGTTGCATCAGGGTAGGAACCAACCTGAATCATCTATATATACAGGGTGTCCCGGAACTCTCTACCAATATTTTAGGGTATTGCTCCTGGGTAAGAAACATACCTAAATATCATATTTAAATTGTCCGGAAGTCCTTAGTTACTCACACAGCCGCCATTTTGTTTTTTTCAGTTATTAATTTTTTTCGAAAGAATAGTTAAACATACGAAATGGAAACTTTGCACAAACATTTATGACCACTAGACAAAGCTACCAAAAAATTATGAAGATTTTTCTAATTCATAAAACAAAATGGCGGCCGTTAAAAAACTTTGTAAAATCAATGGTTTTCGAGTTACTTAAGAAACAAAATTTTAAATGACACATTTTGTTTTATGAATTTGAAAAATCTTCAAAATTTTTTGGTAGCTTTGTCTAGTTGTCATAAATGTTTGTGCAAATTTTCAATTTCGTATGTTTAACCATTCTTTCGAAAAAATTAATAACTGGAAGAAACAAAATGGCGGCTGTGTGAGTAACTAAGGACTTCCGAACAATTTAAATACGATATTTAGGTATGTTTCTTACCCGGGAGCAATGCCCTAAAATATTGGTAGAGAGTTCTGGGACACCCTGTATATATAAAATACAATGTATCTTTGTTTGTCCTTTATGGACTCCGAAACCGCTTGACAGATTGTAATGAAACTTTCAAGCATTATTAAGCATTATTCAAGGATGGTTTGTGTGAAGTTTGGTGCAGATCCGACAAGAGGGCTCCGCCCCAGTGGCTCTGGCGTTTCCCATGTTAACCTTATGAGTACTCATATTTAAATGGAATTAAAGAATCTTAACAGCTGGTTCGACTAAACAATTTGATTCAG